CAAAGAATAAGGAGATTGATTTCCTACATTAAGATTAGGATATATACATATAGATATATATAGGCAGATAGATCTAGATCTAGCTATAGATATATAAAATATTGGGGGTGTATGTGTATATATGTATATATAATATTGGGGTATAAAATATTGGGGAATGGGAGAGGCGACTGCTTCATTTTTCTTTTTGAACTTAGTAATAGCAAAGCTGAACGTTTGAAGAGCAAGCATGGCAGACTCCAAGGATATTATGTGGTTTTGTTTTAAGCTTTCAGTAGTAGCATGTTTCATTCAGCCTGTGCAGTAAAAATAAATGAGTAATAAATGACTTGTGTGTTTTGTCTGCCTTGGTAATACTATCATTGACTCTGTCTAACCAGCCAATTATTTTCCTTTTGTCTGAAATGAAAACCATCATGTTTTTGACAATGTAGGGATTTCTGTTCAGTTGAAATCTACATTTCCACTGAAGTAAAAAGAATAAAACTGCAAATTGATAGATTTTAGCTTTATTACCAACCCCCCCAAAAGAAGTCATTTAAAATTTCTTGTAAAATAACAAATATCATTAAAGCATTAAAACTCAGCCTTGATAGTTTTGAATATAGGTACTTGGTCTTTAAATTTTGACTGAGATGTAAATGATAGTGGTACCATAACTAGTCATTCACCTTGTGGATGGCCCACAATGATCCCCACCTCCTGATGCTCACACTCTTGTGTAGTCCCCTCCCAGATTTACCAGAGTTTGTCTTTGTGACCAATAGAATACATCAGAAGTAATGGTATGCCACTTCTAAGACTAGCTTATAAAAGACACTGTGACTTCCATCTTAGTGGCGCTTGTTGCTGTCTCTCGCTCTCTTGTGTCATTTGCTCTTTGAAAAGCCAGCACGTGGCAAGGAACCAAGGCCTGTGCCAGCAGCCATGTGAGTAAGCTTGGAAGTGGATCCACCAGTCCCAGTTATGCCTTCAGTATGACTGCCCTTTTGGCCAGCAACTTGACTACAACCTCATGAGACCCTGAGCCAGAACCATCCAGCTAAGCCCCTCCCAGATTCTTGAGCCTCAGGAACCTTGTGAGATAATAAATGTTTGTTGTTTTAAGCTGCTAAGTTTTGTGGTAATTTGTTATACAGGAATAAATAACCAATACACATCTCCACTAAAGGTCTTCTTTCATTCTTCAAATCTATTTTTGGCTATAGCTGTTGTTATTGTTTACCCTGTTAAGCCTGTCATCCATATAGTTCACCTGACTGAGTCATTAAGTTAGTTGAAAAATAACTGTATACTATTTCTCATTTTACAATCCAGTGTTTGGTATATAGACATAGACACTGAAGTCCCCTTTCTCATATTTGGTTCCACATTAGAATGTACTTTAAAAAATTGTTGTGTGAGAAGAGGCCTTTCTTAGATTATTCTACAGATCCTTTTCATTTATATGCAAAGCCACCAATTTTGTATAACTTGTAATTACTATACAAGTGATTATGGAATTACTCTAAAGTACATTAAGAGAAAAGAGACAGCCTAACAACTGTTCTCAGTCCAAGACTTCAGCAAAGAAGCTCCTCATCTATTACTCTTAACTCTAATGTATATTAATTATACAGGATAATCACAGTGTGGGTTTTAAAAAGTCATATTTTTGAGGATTAGTAACTATATACTTAAACCTGAGAGACAGCTTCTCAGCAGATCTAATCTCAAGAAATTCATGAATTGTACTCCTAACTCCTACCCACCAGCAACACATTCTCCATGGTGTTCTGAAAAGGTCATTAAAATATTTGGGTTTACTTCTTCTATTTCCTTTTTGCCCTATGAAGCCAATTTCAGTACCAATAATTATTCCTTTAATCATCACTAACCATATAGAAATGGTTTTGGATAAGAAATGTGACAACTGTAGAAGCTTCAAAGACACATCCAAACTGTCTGAGAGACTGAATTATTGGGCTAAGGGCTGGGGACCATGGTCTCCGGGAACATCTAGCTCAATTGGCATAACATAGTTCATAAATAAAATGTTCTACATCCTACTTTGGTGAGTAGCGTCTGGGGTCTTAAAAGCTTGTGAGCAGCCATCTAAGATACTCCACTGGTCTCACCCAGTCTGGAGCAAGGGAGAATGAAGAACACCAGAGATGGAAGGGAAATATTAGTCCAAAGGACTAATGGACCACAACTACCACAGCTTCCACCAGACTGAGTCTAGCACAACTAGATGGTGCCTGGCTACCACCACCAACTGCTCTGACAGGGATCACAGTAGAGGCTCCTGGACAGAGCTGGAGAAAAATGTAGAACAAAATTCTAACTCATTAAAAAAGAAAAAGAAAAAAAAGACCAGACTTACTGATCTGACAGAGACTGGAGAAACACCGGGAGTATGGCCCCCGGACACCCTTTTAACTCGGTATTCAAGTCACTCCTGAGATTCACCCTTCAGCCAAAGATTAGACAGGCTTATAAAACAAAATAAGATCTAAAGGGGCACACCAGCCCAGAGGCAAGGACAATAAGGCAGGAGGGGACTGGGAAGCTGGTAATGGGGAACCCAATGTCAAGAAGGGGAGAGTGTTGACATGTCATGGAGTTGGCAACCAATATCACAAAACAATATGTATATTAATTGTTTAATGAGAAACTAATTTGCTCTGTAAACCTTCATCTAAAGTACAATTGAAAAAAAAAAAAGGAATGTGACAATTGATAAAGTGGACTTTCACTGCTTAAAGAGACTTCTTCTCTTGCCTCCTTTGGGTAAGTGTTTCCTAAGCATAGATTTGCCTTCGGTCGTTAATAGCTGCAAATAGATGCTCTCGTTGAATCTTAGGTTATCAGTCTCGTGTTTTTATACCAGTTTTTAAAGAAACAGAAAAACATCGATGAGTCCCATGTTGTTTGAGGCCATTGCTTTTTAAAATGTAGCTAAAATCTTACTTTTTTTTAACAATTATTTAAAAAAAAAAAAAAGTAGCTGATTCAGGATTTAGTCTTTCTTTCTCCATCCTAAGTGGACTAAAGTTTATTTTGAAATTTTACTGAGAATTTCCTTTTTAATTTGGAACTGAAAAACAAATAGGATTCTGTCTTGGACTCTGCTGTTGAAGTTCCCCCTTTTTCCTCTCCCCCTTTAATACATACGCACACACACAACCAGTAACTTGAACAAACTTCTTTCATTCTCCATATTTCCAGTATGCAAATATAATCCAAGCACTCCAATAATGTCATCACTTAAGATAGTTGTAGTCAAGCCAGAAGTAAAACTCAGGGCTTCTAACTCTGCTTTGAACATTTGCCAACTGATACCAACATAAATTATTAGCATAAGGTTTTAAGTGATTCCTGGAGCTTGAACTTGGACAGTCTAATGAAGAGAGAGGCATCAGATTTTCAGCAGTGAAACATACTTCTGTGCTTTGGGATTTGGGGGTTACAAGGGAGGCTAAGAAACTTTGGTAAGAAGGAAATCACATGTTTATTTTCTTGAGTTTTTTGTTTTTTAATTAAAGCATAGCCGTTGAATTGTGTATTTTCCTTTTTTTTCAAATGGGTTCCTGTTTGTGAGTGGTGGTGTGGTAAGAGAGCATAGCTCCTGATAAACTAGTTTAAAAAATGGATAAATGACAGTAGTTTTTATAACTAAATTTAATGTGAGAGCTTAAAGTATATAGTACTTTGCTGTGGTTTTTGAAAACATTTACTCAGCCCTGTATTGCACTTTACATTTTTTATTGTAAAATGTCTCAGGAAACATTTTAATGTCTATGTAGTAAAGTCATTATTAATGTCAGTCTGTTCACCTGCGTGTAATATATGATGCTCGTATGAAGTAGTACTTCAAGCCCTTTCTAACAAAGATAGGAGAAGCAGGAAGCCTGAGAATATCTCCCTACCTACCTGCTGATCCTTAGACCCCTGCCTTGGCACCCAAGCCCAGAGCCCTAGACCAGACTCCAAGCACCAGCCCGCATCCCCTGCTCACCTCTCTCCCCCAAAGCTCTCTAAGCCCTGAAGGAGACAGGAAGGAGGATGGAAGGTAGCAGCTGAACAGAAACTGAAGGAGAGAGGGTGGGATTTGGCAATAGCTAGAAGGGATTTTTTCTGCAGCTCTGGTTGTGAGTGCCTCGGTCCTCTTGACCCATCAACAACTAAGTGAAGTCTCCTATGTACAAATCACAAATAGTCCTAAATTATAACAGGATTACATTTATTTTTAGCATCCTTTACTTATCTAATGCTACCTTGTTAGGCCTCTAAATAGGTAAACTCATAAAATTATCATGCTTAACATTTTTTTGAAATGTGAACACCATAATACAGAAAGAAAAGATAAGATATACCTGTTAGTAATATAAGCAGTCATAAGTAGACATAAGCAGAGGCAATAAGCATGATGGTTAAGGACACAGACTTTGGAGCCAAGTTGCCTGAGTATAAATCCCAATTCTGACAGCTTGCTAGATAAGTGACCTGGAACAAGTTACTGAGCCTCTCTATAATAACTTTCTCTTCTGCAAAATGGAGATGATAGCAGTACCTTATAGAGTTGTAAAATTTAAATAAGTCAATATGAACATAAATGCTCAGAACAATGTGTAAATACATAAGTGTTCTTATTATTATACCATAACACCTTTCTGATGTTATTTCTATATTTAGATGGACCAATCTGATTTGTAGTCAGCAGGTGACATTTACATTAATAATACCACTTTAATGTCTAACTAAAAAGGAAAAAAAAAAAACCAACCCCATTGCCATTGAGTCGATTCTGACTCATAGCGACCCTGTAGGACAGAGTAGAACTGCACCATAGGGTTCCAAGGAGCCGCTGGTGGATTTGAACTGCTGACCTTTTGGTTAGCAGCCGAGCTCTTAACCACTGTGCCACTAGGGCTCAAATGTGTAACTACTAGAGAGCAAATCCCTCTCAATAGTTTTTTAAAAGGCAAAAAAATACTTATTTTTTTCCTCTTTCCCAGGCCCAGCACAGAGATACTTTCATTGAAGAACGCTATGGAAAATATAACATCAGTGATCCCTTAATGGCTCTACAGAGAGACTTTGAAACTCTCAAGGAGAAAAATGATGGCGAGAAGCAGCCCGTCTGCACAAACCCACTCTCCATTCTTAAGGTAGTGATGAAGCAGTGCAAGAACATGCAGGAGCGCATGCTGTCCCAGTTGGCTGCTGCCGAGAGCAGGCACCGCAAGGTAGGTTCACCCCAGGTGACCAGTACCACAGTAAGAAACACACGGGAGGGCTCCACAAAGAATGTCTGATACTTTCTTGTCAGCTGCCAGTTTTCACAGTAACTCATTTTGGAGGTGTGGGGGGTGTGGATGTCTCTCACAGATGTCAAAAAGCCCTTTAACTTACCTAGCAGCCAGGAGATAGAAAACACAGGTTATTCCAAAGGCTAAATTTAGGGGGTATGCCAGACACATTATTTAAGATGGCATTCCTTCTTGGTATGTCACTCCAAAACACTTCGTATGTTTTTCTTGCTCTTGATCATCCAGACTTTGGCAACAAACTGGGGTTTGACCAAGCTTGTAGCTGAACAGAACGTTCTTTATTCACTTACTTGAATGATAAATAGAAAGATTAACAGGTATTTGGGGGAATGCTATGCACGAGAGAGAGAGAATTTATCTGACTTACAAATATATAAGCCAATAGATTATTTCCATTTTTGTTTAGAGTTCCATTGCATTTCACTGTTCATAAAACCACCAACAGTATCTAGGGTTGTTTACCTTAAAGCTGTTCTACCCTATGAGGAAATTGTGTGCTTACATGTGCGTACGTGTGTGTACGTGTGTGTGTGTGTATGTTTGGTCCCATATCTTACAGTCCCCAAGTTAGGAAGGCAAACCTGTGGTTTCCTCTACCTCATCTCATTGGAATTCTAGCACTTGTGAATTTATTCCCCAACTTGGCATTTACTGCTTGGCTAGAATCTGCATATTTTAAAACTATCAGTTTAGATTTACACCAACAAGGGGGGACATCAGTGCAGTTAGTGGAAAACATTTTAATCTGAAAAATAGGATTAGCAGCTGCAAAGTTTCATGTACCTTAGTTTACTTTTCTCGTTACCTGCGGTATAGCCATCTGCTTAAAATACATCTCATAAAATGCCTAGGCTCTGGGTCTTGCCCATGACCTTGTCTTTCCCTTCACAGAGCCCAAATGAAAGGCTAGAGTGGAGGTTCTTAACCATGGATGGGCTTCAGGTATTCCATGAGCCTCCAGAAAAAATATATAGAATGTGAAAGTTTATGCATTTTTGTGGGAAATGGATTTATTCTGTAGCTTTAATAAAATTATCAAAGTTGTCCAAGACCCAGGCAACTTTAATCACTGGTCTAGAATGAAGTCATCTGAAGATATTTATGCTGCAATTTAAGAAGTATCGATGGGTTTGACTTAATTGCCAAAATATGGGCAGCTTTTACATAATCCTCTAAGAAAATCTTCACGGTCTCCTTATTTGATAGGCAGGCCTTATTTCCACTTTGTACATGAGGTAATTGAATTGACCTGAAAGGACTGGCTGTCTGTCATGCCCATGGAAGGTATAGTGTTGGGACAATTTGTAGCTCAAGGTGACTAGGGAGAGGAAGAAGTTAAAAATAATTCAAATTGCCTTAATACTGTATTTCAATATCAGATGCTTTAAGGGGGTTAAATTTTTTTTTTTTTTTTAATACGTTATTGTACTTCAGGTGAAGGCTTACACAACAAATAGTTTCTCATGAAACAGTAGTACACATGTTGTTTTATGACATTGGTTAACAACCCCACAACATATTAACCCTCTAACTTCTCAACCTTTTTTTTTTTTTTTTTGGTGAAAATACACATAGCCAGAGATACACCGTTTCAAAAATGTCTACATGCACAGTTTAGTGACATTGACTGTGCTCTTCCAATTGTGCTGTTACTCTCACTTAAGACGAAGGCTTACAGAACAAAATAGTTTCTCATTTAACAGTTACTACAAATGTTGCCCTCTGACAATGGTTAACAATCATGTCACAACACATCAACAATATCCTTACTCAACCTTGGGTTCCCTATCACCAGCTTCCTTGTCCCCTTCTGCCTTCTGGCCCTTGTCACTGGACTCCT